TGGTCAATGCATGAAATTTCAATTCTTCACAAATGTCCCATCTACATAGTCAAACCCAGCCTGATTGGCAATCTATCTTCCCTGACCAATAAACTGCGTCATCAGAACTGTCTGTTTTTCTCTCACTCATTTCTTAAAGTAATCATTTCATCATTTTTACCACTACCTTTATTGATGAAAAATGAATATTTCCATTAAAATTCAACAATTTGCAAAAAAAATAGCAAATGGAAAATAAGTGTTCTGGTGATTCTGTGTTGCTAAAGGCACTTTTTAAATTACATTTAAGTATTTATACACAGTTAGCATTAAACTGTGATTAAGCTTGTTGTGCCAGTCAATGTGCAAGTGAATTATGGCATAAGCACAGCACCATAGCTTTGTACAGTACACAAAACAGAGGACGTTACAAGTGAGAAAGAGTGATGCTACCAGGATCATCGTTAGAATAATGTATTTTCCAGGGCCTACCGAAGCATGACTACACACGTTGAACTTCTGAGTCTGACTTTAAAGCTGTTTTGATGTTTTCGTATTATTTTCAGCAGCTGTACCTTCTTGGCCTCTGACTGGTCAGACAAAAGCGTCCATACAATTACCTCCCGAGAGACTGATGAACAAACTTTTCACTTCGGTTCTTCTTGTTTTTTCAAACGTGATACTTGTGTGGTGTGCATTATTTTCCAAATGCTTGGAATGTTTGAAAATGCAGTTTCATGCTCCCCAGAGTTTTGTCAGATACCTGTAACAGCCCCAGAAGATGTCCATCAAACAAAACTAAACTATTTGTTTCCAGGCTGTAGGGTCAAGCAAAATATTACTCCAACGAAATACAAGCTGACTCTTTCTGAATAAAAATTAAGAAATAGAAATCCAACTTTGATTATAAATCAAACCCAACGAAAGCAAGTAAATTACACTACAGAAGCAACACAAGAGAAAAACTGAAAGAGCTGAGTCAGTTGATTGAGAAACTATAATGACATTGGATTAATGTCAATGATAAAACAGCTAATTAGCAAATGAGAAAACTTTATTCACAGAATATTCATTTCCTTCATTGTCATGCAGAAGGAAAACATTCAGTATTAAGATACACACTACATACAGATTTATGGGTAAGATAACTAATATTGTATTTTACTAGAAATACTTATGTTACCAAAGAGATTAATAGTTATGCTTTTAAAGGCCTTTTTATGTGTTTAATCAACGCCATAGCCTCTGGGATAGCTAGGGAGTCTTTATAAAGAATAATTGCTGCTTGATTATTATTAGAATAATTCACAGTATAAAAAGATACAACTCTCACAGAAAGAGTAACTTTACAGCATTTTCATTTTCTTATACACAAATAAGTTAGATTTAATCTAAAATAAGAAATTAACTATTATTTGTGAAAACGTTTTACTCATGTAAAGCTTGTTCTAGTTGGCATCAAGATTTCTTCATTGTGGCTAATTACCCAGAATATAAAAGAGTGCAGAAATGATTGGAATCTGATCAATGACTTTGTTCTTTTTCTGCTTAACCAACATTTTCTTCTAGCACAAGTCTATCAGCTCACACAGGTATGCAGAGCTCAGCTAATAATTGGTCAATTCTTCTGGAAAAGGTAGGCTCATGCAAAGCCAGTACTTTGGCTGTTGACTTCTTAAAGAATTTAAGACCATATTTAAGTGGTGATTCGTGCTCTTTGGTGCACATGAACTTACATAACCTCTACTGAGAGTCTGGCGCCACATTTTTCTGTTGTTTTAGTACATGTTGGGGATACTAACAGTCTTCAGAAATGTTTTGTTGCTTACATTGTAAGACAACCAAACCACCATGATGTCCTTTTTATGGCCTTTGTATCTCCTCTATACTATAACAAATATGTTTAGTTGGTGGTGAGTTGGTGACCTCACCGGACAGGTCACTGATGAAAATAACCATGGTTCCGCTAATCATGTTTCCGTGTTATTGTTGCTGCTTAGGCAGCAGTCATGGCACGTAACAACAAATACCGAGAAGAAGAATCAAAGAAAAATCAAACTTGGGCTTGCGAGGCCTCAGAAGATCTGCTGCATTCTTTTAAACAATAGGTGGCCACAATAAGCAAAATGCTTGACTATAAAGTTAAAAATGTGAGCAGAAGAAATAATTGCTCTCACTTTTTTTGTACTTTCCTGCAGACATAGATGTTTTTTTTAGAGCGGGGTTGGTTGTGTGAAGTATTTATGAGCACTGAGTGTCTTTTCTACAGTGGACAGCAGTCAAACAGCTCTCGGTTTGGAGAAGCTGTTTGGGGAGCTGATGAACAAGCAATGCAGGAAACTGCAATTAACATACAGTATACGAGAAAATAAACATGAAGACCAAATGCTTTACTACAGATTTTTTTTTTCACTGTTTTTCCTTTTGAATTAATAATTTTCTCTCCCAAATAATGTCCGTGTTGAAATGGCAGAGACGGTATAACCGGGCATTGCTGAGCACTGTTTGCACAGTGAGGACAGTCTGTAGTTCATACATTTCTTTTTTAACACAGACAACCGCATGATGTAAAAGAAGTCTGGTATAAAAACGTACGATACGGTTTGTTAGGGATGCTGTGAGTTTATCAGGTTTGAGTCATAGCAGCATTTTTCTCTTCAAACCGCACAGACAAAAGATCCCCAAAATAAACATATCATCCTCAATTCATAACACCTGTTAATACTCCCCAGCGATACAATACACGGTTTGTGCCTCAAATTGAGTTGATGCCAGAGCAACAATTGACTATAGAGACATCCAATAGATGGAGCTTTTGGACAACATGATAAAACTGTCTGCTTTTTCTCTCAAGGAGGTCATCATATATCTGCAGCTTGCACTTTTTCAGGCAATTTTTTTTATTTCTTCAGACAAATTTTTTTTTTCAAGCAGACTCTTTTGTTAATACATCATTATTCTCCATTCATGCCATGTTTGAAAGGAGAAAGGTGCTCACTTCGGGTTCCGTGAAGTCTGACAGTACAAAGAGCTCCAGTTAGTGTTCATAAAGAATTAGACTTTTTTCTGTGTCAAAAATAACTTGAAGGTCAGTGACATTTCGCCCCGATGTATTTTGTTTTTAGGGCATCAGACACAAGGCTCGCCTTGTGTTCAGAGCAAAATGGGCTCTGACAAACTAACAATTTGTTCCTTGAGCGGTTTGCATCTGCCAGATGTGTCTGCATTTTTTTTTTTTTTTGCCACATTTGGTATTTAGTCATGGCATGGACTGTGAGCTCTCATTCCCTCTGTGAGACTGTAAATAAGCTCAGCATCCTCTGGGAAAGATGACATAAAAGACTGTGGTCTACTAACCACAGTGATTTCCAGAGGCATAACTAAACCATGGATGCTTCATTCCTATTAAGTAAAAGCAATATCCTAGATGTCTCTGTTTATCAAGCTGGCATACACCACACATCAATAGACAATTCCTTTATAAACTGTTTTCATACAGCAAATAACCAAGAGACTGCAATGGGCAAAAACTTGAAGGAACATAGGGGGAGTTGTGGAATATTTGTTCTGGCATAATCTCATCCAAGAAAAGGATTATGTTTTTGAACCCATCAGAGACTAGTTTATTAGTTTTAATCTGCTTATTTCAACAAAATATTTATTTATTTATGCAAAATTATGTTCTTCACAAGTCTTGTTCACAGGAGAAGTTTTTCCAAAAGTTAGATCATAGTCGGATTTATTTATTTTTCTTTATTTATTGTCTTACTTTCACTGATGTTTCAGTTCTGATGCTCCTTCCTACTTGACTTGGCACGTGTGCTCTGAGCGGTTGAATTCACTTTTAAATATGCCTTTTCTCCAGAGGTCCCAGCCTCTTGTGATGTGACCCGCATGACTAATTCCATTTAAAGGGGAATAACATGCATTAGGGCTCTCACTTTTCTGCCTTTCATTTGCATAATTTTGTTTGGCAACTTGGAAAAGGGCCATTAACAGCACTGAGATGCACACTGTAAAGGGTAGGGACAGAGGGAGATCAATACTTTATTTCAACATCTTTAGCAGCATCAGGGTGGAGATCAGGATGCATTCACTGATTCAGAATCCACACAGAAGCCATGTGAGGCTACCATTAGATCTGTGTGAAGAAATGTTAGACACATTTGCTTGATCAACACTCTTAACTTTTTTTTTTTTTTATGGGTAGCAAACAAATCATCGATCACCAGCCAGTAGCCCTATCCTCAGTCCCACCTCTTGTCCTCCTCATTATTGTTTTAATCAGGCATCCTCTGGAGACCTCATTTGGTGGGGGCAATAAAAGGTGCTGAACTGCAATTTACATCAAACACCAGATGTACAGCAGAATAACCTCTGACACCAGCGACTATTTGTGTCAGGAGGGGAAGCACCGGCCGAAACAATGGGAATTAAGCTGGAGGGGGGGTCTCCGCAGGACGCGAGTGGGATGACCGGGGGGGAAGTTGTGACTCGAGCCAGTGAGGAGGAAATAATCGCAACGTTACCGTCTCATGAAATATTTAGAGTGCCCCTTGTTCTTATTTTATCCCAGTTTTAAAACGCAACATGTTCATCTGTTGGAAATGAAACGGTGTGCGAGTTATTATTTTTTTTCTGTTTCTTTTTTTTTTCTTTGACAGCTGTATTACTGCTGATAAGCGAGACTGTGTGAGCTGATCAAGTAGTGAGACAAGCGTTCAGAGCAGGAGCAGGAGAGCAGCAGAGCAGCAGCAGAGCTGTAGTCAGTCGGAGAGGCGGCAGCAGAGGCAGCAGCAGCAGCATCAGCATCAGCAGCAGCACTATCAGTCAGAGCACAGGAGGCAGCGAAAGCGGCAGCAACAAACTCTCCTCTGTCTGCTCCTCTTCTTTCTTTGGAGTTGTTTTCCCCCCAACCGCGCAGACACCAGAAGCCCCGAAGGAAGTAGGGAGGGGAAGTGATCCAGGGCTGATAGCTGTCATCAAAAAAACAAAAACCAAACGCAGACCTGGCTGCCCCCATGCCTATCGAATTTGTTTGCAAAATCAAATTTGCAGAGGAGGATGAGAAGCAGAAAGGCAAGCAGGATGGGGACAAGGAGAGCCTAATTGAGGAGAGCTGCACGCCTCCGGCCAAAGACTTGGCCGGGTTTGCCAACTCCTGCTCCCTCCATGGGATTAACCACATCTTTGTCTCTGGCCGCCTGGGTATCCGGCAGACTCTCTGGGCTCTCGCCTTTTTGACTTCTCTAGCACTGTTTCTGTACCAAGCGGCTAAGTGTGCCATCTCTTACCTGGAGCACCCTCATGTCACAGCTTTGAATGAGGAGGCGACACCCGAGATGGTTTTCCCCGCCGTGACCATCTGCAACATAAACCGCTTTCGCTTCTCCGCACTCACCGACGCTGACATCTACCACTTGGCTAACCTGACAGGTCTGCCTCCGAAAAACAGAGATGGACACAAACCTACAGATTTAATGTATCCTGCTCCCGACATGCAGGACATCTTCAACAGGACGGGACATCAGTTGGAAGAGATGCTGATGAGCTGCAATTTCAGCGGGCAGAACTGCTCAGTGGAGGACTTCTCTGTGGTGAGTACAAAAGTTTCTTAAAAGTTTTGCTCTTGCCGGAATCACCCCTTTGTACATAACTCAGTTGTGATGCACTGTCTCCATCAAATCTCTTTTTTTCATTCAAACTTTTACACTTGAGACATGCCAAGGAATATTAAATGTGAACATCAACCGTGTTCACACGAGACTACAGATAAGACGGCAAAATGAACAAGAGGGAAGCAGAATTTAAATTCTATTTGTCTTTGTACTCATCTCCAGGGGGCATGTGGATCCCACGATAGAGCTCTGTATGCAGGATACATACTGTAGCTTTGGCTCAGTCACTGAGCCGCATCTCTCCTCACCAAGTTGCTACCGGGAACAGTGTTTCTCTTTGGCTGTGCCTGTGCCACAATCTGGGATGTCTGAGAACAAAGTCTGTCTTAAGAGCAGAAAAACAGCGAGTCAAATGTGGTTGTGTACTTAAACTGTGCCTTAACGCTGCCTCCAGCCCCGGCAGCTGAGAGTGCATGGCAACAAAAATTGTCATCGAAAATAGCCAGTCTCTTCTTCCTCCCCGTTCCATCGCTCCCTGTTGCTCCCACTCTCTCTCTGTCTAACATTGCAGAGCGCCTGCATCTCTCCTACTCTCTGAGCTCTTGTACCTTTCAGAAGGGAAGGAGTAATGCTTTTTCAATGCTGTATTTCAACCCCGCTGCTGTTAGGATTAAATATTTAAAGACTGACATACATGATTTTTGCATTAGCTAGATTGACTAAAAGGAATGAAACAATTTTCATGAGAGGGAAAGTGTATGTGAGAGGGAGAGTGGAGGGATCAGGTGAAAGAGTTTGTGCCTGTGTTCTGTGCACTATTTTGTTTAAAAGACGCTGTCCTTCCTGGAGATGGATTCCCACATCTTTCCTGCTGGGAAAGGAATATGCATTTGCTTTAGTGATGACAAAGTGCAGTTGTCAAGTCTTAATAGGGTATGTTGAACACTGGTATGTTCACACAAAGATTTTTCCTTATCAGAGAGATGATAACACATTACCCCCGATGTGCCAAATTGCACCAAAGAAGCAGTGATATTTCGCCGTTTCTCTCTTGATTTGTACAAAACTCCATACAGCAAGGTGCTGGTTTGTTGTCATGGCAGCCTCTCATATGTAGACGCAAAAATTATAGGTGACATTAGAGCGGCTCTCCCTTCAAGAAATTTTCACAGTCACTCAGGAAGGCAAAAGAAAATGTCATGCTCTTCAGGGGAGCCGGGAAGTTTTTGCTCAAATTCTCTTTGAAGCAACAGCCTGGCACTAAAAGTTTAGATTACATTTCTGGCACATTTGACGGCAATAACCAACGACACTTTGACACTCACCCTTACCAGAGTGCAATAATTAGCAGCCAATTCAGACATCCACCAAATGTCCGTCCCCTGTCAATTGAAACATCCCGTAGCTCTTTGGACACCCGGGGTGACTTTGTCACAGATTAGGATCCTGTTGAAAGTTCCCAAAGCTGCTGTTTCCTCTCCGTCAGCGATGTGATCTGCATTTTCTTGGGCTGTCAGTTAGATTTGTTACAGGCTGTTTGCTGCTTCTACGCATGACAAATCACTCACTCTGAGTCCTGGTAGGGGACACAACTGGGGGCGCGTGTGGAGGACGGACTGGGAGTTGTGGGAAAAGGTCTGAGACCAACAAGGAAAAGGAACAGAGTGTATATAAACCTAAGACACACACACACACACACATACAGTCACAACTCTGTACTTTGTGCATAGGTTCTGTTTGTGACTGCAAATCGCGCATAGTTTGTTACAGCAAGAAAACCATTATTACAGGTGATGTGCTATTAATCACATGCACACATGTACAAACACACAGGACTCCTGCATGATTCGGTCATTATTTGTGCTCTCATGGGGCAATGCTTCAGGATCGGCCCCTTGTAATGTGTTTTCCTTCGATTGATCATACTGGGAGCAGCAGATGTTTTCGTAATGGGCACATGGATGTGGGGCTCTCGGGAGAAAGTATGATAAAATATAATTACAGTATTTTCTGACATTTTAGTTTTACTATTAGCTGTGATCTGTGCAACAGACCTCTGCGTTGCATTCATTTAATTTTCCATTATGTTCTTTATTGTTGTATTTATTAGGGATGTCTCTATAAAGATTTCTTTTTGTCCGGGACTCTGTTCCAAGTCATTTAAAATTGAGTCTTGCTTGATATTGAGTCTCAATCCGATAACTGTTTTTTATTATATGGCACTGGGTTGTAAAATGCACACCAGGAGTGCATTTAAGTTACTGGAACCATTTTTAAACAAAGTATAATAATGCAATAAATAGTATAAACAGAATGCTTTTTTGTTTTTCTTTTCAAAAAAGGTCTTGTGCCAGATGATTTATCTTTAATAACAGCAAAATTACATTGTTAATTCTTGTGATGACATTGAACACAACACAGCTGGGTTAATATTGAATGCTTTATAGAATCCTTTCACGCTGCAACCCGTCTCCCTTTTGTCATTAATATTTCTGAAATGCAGCATTTCTTTTCATTAAAGAAACATAACTGGAATGATACAAGAATAAAAACACTGAGTGTATATTATCTGTGACATAATGATAGTCTGACTAACGCGTCCTTGAATTTGCCAATCAAAGCCAATAAGTAACTTACTGATCACCTAACAGTGAACCTATCAGAGATGAGGCATTGAGGTGTGCTCAGTCACCCCAGTGCTGATCAGTGAAAAAATACATCTTTATTAGGAGCCTGACCTTTACTTAAGATCACATCAGGACATCCCTTGTGTCCATGTCCTTTAATTGTGTTACAGTTGCTTCTGTATTTGAATGAAAATTTGTTTTAACGTTTCAACATAAAATGATGAGTTATTTGAGAAAATAATAAATTTATGTTTAAGTATTTACTGTTCCTAAACATGAGTCTCAAAGGCAGAGAAAAACATTGGAGTGTTCTGATCTCTGCCAGGAAAATACACAGTCACGTAAAAGAGGAATCTGTTCTCCTCATTTCAGCATCGTACAGTGCTGTGATTATTTGAAGCAGGTGAGAAGGACGTTCTTTATAATTAAAGATTACATTATTGACTTGTATTAATCACAGAAGATAAATCCTATTCTACAAGCCATGAATAAATAGATTAATGTTTTTCTTCCAGTCTAACCATCACTGACTGTTTACCTTTTGTGTGCTGCTGTCGCAGAGATGAGCAGCGAGCCCTTTGGCTCCATTCTAAACCGAGCTATGAATTGGTTTGCTCTGGCTCTCAGCTGTATTTGCTGCTGCATTATCAGATTTTTGCTCTCAGCAAGGACAGAACCCCTCTGCATATATTCACAGCGATAACTACACAGCTATAGGCTGCCGTGTGAAGTGATCTATAAAAACCCGGGTTAACGGGGACACCAGCGAAGAGCCCTTCGCCTTCAATTTGTCATTACAATGACTGAAGCCTCTGTTGTGTATTTTTATAGATAATGGAATGTTTAATGGTGGACGCCACAGATCATGCTTACCCCTTTCAACATTCTATCCCCCATGGAAGGAAAAAAAAGAAATTCCATAAATGTAAATCATTACAATAGACAAGTGGCCCGAGAGAGGCAATTTCTATAAGTAGCATGCTTCTGTGTAGATCATCAAAAAGCAAAATCATGAACAAAGGAAAGCTTCCATAACATTGTAAAGAGAAAAGAAAAATGAAACCCTCATCATCAGTATCTATCAACAGAATCATTGTGTGCTTATAGGTAGAGTTTTAACAAGACTTTACAGCATAGGACATGTGGTTGTGAGTCTGTGACAGTGCCCTGGCTGCTCAAAAAAGATGGTGTGAGGAGGGTTATTCAGGCACAATTTGCGGGGTTGGTCTGCCAAGACAAGGCTGACATGATGTTCTCTGTGTCATTTCTGAGTCTCTGCATGTGTGGAAAGACACATGTGACAGAAGTGGGGCTCGTCGTGTTACAGCAAGAAATACATCCCCGACCTTTGGCAGCGTCGGAGAGTCCTGTGGAAAAAACTCCGGGAAAGGCTCCCCTTCGCTGTGTGTGTGTGTGTCTGTGTGCAGATGGCTGTGAGAGTGACACGCATTTCCCCTGGTGGGTCGAAAGTCTGTACACCACTTAGCAGCACACCCACGCAGCCACCCACCCACCCAGACACACTCTTCTCCCCCAGTTACCACCCTTCCCCCTGGTGGAGAATTCAGAGTGCGGAGCGTGAAAGTGACCGCCTATCTGGACCGGCTTCCTCTCCAGCAGCCCTGTCAATTAGCCATCTACAGTTCCACTGCTGTGGGAGTCCCCGCAGCTTAACATGCTGTCTGATATCTGATCCACACACACCCGGCCCCTGGAGGCCGGCGCTGAGTGTTATTACACCCCTCGCGAGCCATAAACAAACAAAGTATGGACGGGCTTTAGTTGTCTTCCCTTTATTTTCGCCCTCTTTGCAAATTGCGAAAGGAAAGGGGAAAAAAAAAAACAAACTTAACAAGGATCTGGTATCCCTGGAGGTCGGAAGCCTCCCTGTCGTTTCTCCCTCTCTCTCCAGTGCGTTCGTGGAGGATGAATTGCGGTGCATTGCAACTGGTCGGCCACCCGTTTTTGATATGCATCCCCACTGTCTGGTCAGATGAAACCCACCTGTGACCAGCCAGGGGTTAACACTAATATCCAAACTGTTTAAATACGGAAGGGTTCATCTTCTCCACCATTCGTTCTAACCGTTTCTGGGCTTGATGAGGTAAATCTGCGGCTTGGAGAAGCTTTTAACTCCGCCACAAAGGCTTTTCCGATGTTTTTCTGTTGCTGAACACCCCCTTCTCTAACCCCTGGGAGTCTTTTACTCACACAGGCATTTGTCTCCCTCTGACAAGTCATACACCAAGCTGCTGGTACTGTTAATATGGTTGCACAGACAGCTACACACACACATACACACACAAACACACACACACAAGTTCAGAGTGTGTACAGTGTAGGTAGAATGCT